ATTTAAACTAATTCTTAAAGGCTAAGTGTGGGCTAATATGACAGCTCAGCACACCTGAGACCCCCTGACATGAGGTAGTTTTCACTCATTCACAAACTCTTCTGGGTGCTTAAGAAGAAAACAGGGAGTGAAACAGGAGACAAACAGAGACAATGAGGCATATGAAATACAGCTCCCTACCCAGACCTCTCAATCATAGGAAGCCAAAGCTTAATGCCCCTGGAGGAGAGGTAAGGTATATTCCCATTACCAGGTCCCAGGCAAAGTTCCACTACTTCTGAGGGAGGGGTGGAAGCAAAGACTCCTACCTCTGGGGCAAGAGTAGAAAACTTTCTTAGTCCCAGGATCATGCACCTATGCAGCTCAGGGTCCACTACTAGGTGAAGCACAGGGAACCCTCTCCCACCCAAGATCTCCACAGATACAAAGCAGAATTTGTTTGTCATAGGAGAGGGGGAGGGACAAGAATGTTGAGAAGGCCCTACCCCCAACACTCAGCTGATGAGGGCCTGCCTATGATTGGAACTGGACTGGGAAGATCAAGGTCTCCCCTACTCCCATGATGAGCTGAACACTGAATAATAAGTCACGTCTAGGGGAAGGGCAAGAGTATGGAGAGAGTTCTCCCTGGATGTGCAGAGAAGGATCCTAAAAGTACCTGCCCACCTTCTAGACGGAGAATTTTGAAATCTGAGGTACAATGGAGGCATATATAGCAATAGACAAACCTGTTCCCAGCTCACCTGATGGGATCAACTTCCCACCAAGCATCTGACCAAAAAAAAAAAAAAAAAAGCTCATTTCCACTACTGCTTTATATAAATTGCCTAGCTTTTAATCAAAAATAATGAGACACACAGAAAATAAAATTAAACCACTGACACAAGAAAGAGCCATAAATTATGGCCTCTATTATGTAGACATTTGACGTGATATTTACAACATAGAAAGATTCCCAGGATATGGTCATTACCTTAGGAAAAAGTTCAGACATACATCTCATACTCATATAAATAAGTAGAATAAAGTATTGGACGCATTATACCAAAAAATGTGCTTGTACTCAAGTGGTGAGATTATCCCTTTTAAAATGTGCTTTTCTATTTTTATATTCCAGATTTCAGGCACTGTTGCCACAAATTTTATATAACAATAATAAACTCCCTTTAGTAAAAACATGCATGACTGTAAAAGACATTTTTTCACAATGTTCTGTTGTCTAAAAAGAGTTTAGACTGCTTGGCTACCAGAAAGGCTAAAAGTGCCAGACTTCAGTGAAAAAGATACCACCCACTGGTAGCCAAAATGTTTAGTTGACCTATAACTGAAAGGCTGGGCAAAAATATTACCCCAAAACATGATTCTTAATCATTGAAGTAATAATAACGTTGCTGCAACAATCAACATTACCAGTTTAGCACTGTCTAAGTGACATTAACACTACATACATTAGCTTATAGCTTCATTAAATAAATACTAAAATGAGCCCTAAATACAGATAAGCAAACTGATGTCTAACTTTGAATATATTTAAAGCATCAGCAGTTATCAAACCTAATTAATAGTAAGCAAATCATGCTGATGATAATTTAAAAATAGCTGTCATTTACTAATCACCTGGCATATTCTATACTCTGTCCTAAGTGTGTTAGATGTCCTAAGTGTTCAAAATAACTCTTTACCTGAGACTCAGATAGTTTAATCAACTTGCTCAGTTATATAGCTGGTAAGGAAAGGCGGCCAGGTTCAAACATACCCATCATACTTCAAAGTACAGACTCTTATCCTCTGTAATTTATAGACATGACATTGAATGTCCTATGATTGGATCATTCTGACAAATTCCTTCCTGTAAAATAACGTGAAGTATTCTGTAGGATATGCCTGATTTTTCCATGGCTCTGAATCCTGGTTTGGTGAATCTTCCTTGCCTTCTAGTTTGGACCCAATCCGACCCAGATTAGGACAGTCCCTGACTTAGCAGATGTTTTCTCTCTGCTTCTTGTAGGCCGCCAACCAATTTGTCTTGTGTACACTAGCACTTTCAGAATGACCTTATGGGTTTTATGTCTAATTAGCCTGCTCCTAGACCTTCTCTGGACCCGAAAGGAGCTTTTTACTTTCTGTTGTTGTCACAGTAGCAACACTTAACATGATAGATATTCTTTTAATAAAATTTTAAGTGTAAATAGAGTACCGTTCACTATAGGCACAATGTTGTACAGAAGATACCTAGAACTCATTTATCTGGCACGAGTGAAACTTCATAGCCATTGAATAAAAACCCCATTTCTCCTTCCCCCTAGCTCCTGGTAACCACTATTCTACTCTGCTATTTTAGATAACTCATATATATTAACTAAGGTTCTCCAGAAAAACTGAACAGGAGATATATAAAGGAATAGATGATATAAAGAGATAGATACATAGAAAAATAAAGAGACTTATTATAGAAATTGACACACAGAGTTATGGAGGTTAAAAAGTATCACAATTCTCCATTTGCAAATGGTAGGTATAAATCAGTCAAGTTCCAAAGGTCTGAGAATCAGAGGCCACTAGTGCAAGTCTTGAATCTGAAGGCCCAAGAACCTGGAAACCTGATGTCTGAGGGCAGGAAGAGATGGACATCCCAGCTCAAGAAGAGAGTGAATTCATCTTTCCTTTGCTGTTTTGTTCCACTCAGACCCTTAAAGGATTGAATGATTCCCAGCCACCTTGGTAATTGTGGATCTCTTTCCTCAGTTTACTGAATCAAATGTTAATCTCTTCCAGAAACATCCTTGATAAATGTTCTATCAGCTATCTGAGCATATCTTAGCCCAAATTGGTGCATAAAATTAAGCATGATATCATATATAAGTGGAATCATGCAGTATTTGTCTTTCCGTGACTGCTCTGTTTCACTGAGAATGGTAACTCCCAAGTTCATCTGTGTTGTAGTAAATTGCAGAATATATATATACACATTTTTTAACCTTTCATCTATGAATGAACATTTTGGTTGTTCTATATTTGGCTACTGCAAATAATGCTTCAATGAACATGGGAGTGCAAGTATCTCTTCAAGATCCTGCTTTCAATTCTCTTGGATAAATACCCAGAAGCAGTATTGTTGGATCATATAGGTCTTTTTAAAAATTTTTTGAGGAATCTCCATACTGTCTTCCATAATGACTATTTTGCACTCTACCAGTAAGGGTTTCAATTTCTCCACATCCTTTCCAACACTTATTATTTTATAATGGCCATTCTAACAGATGTGAGTTAATATGTCATTGTTGTTTTGATTTATATTTCCCTCATGATTACTTATGTTGAGAATACTTTTATGTATCTGTTGGCCATTTGTATATCTTCTTTGTAAAATGTTTATTCAAGTCTTTTGCTCATTTTAATCAGATTATGTGTTACTTGTCTTTGTTTTTCCTATTGAGATGTAGAAGTTCCTTATATATTTCAGATATTAATCCCTTAACAGTTATAGAATTTGAAACTATTTTCTCCCATTCCATAAGGTGCCTTTTCACTATGCTAATTGTTTGCTGTGAAGAAGCTTTTTAGTTTGACATAGTCCCACTTGTTTAGTTTTGCTTTTGTTGCCTGTTTTTTGGTGTCAAATCCAAGAAATCATTGCCAATACCAATTTCATGAAACCATCTCCTTCACTTTTCCATCTGCTACTTAGTTTCCACAATAATACTTGTCTTTTTCCTGTCAATACTTCTTTATTGTCAAAGAAGAAAATGGCAGTCATGTTGGTGGAAATACAAACTGGTGCATCCACTCTGGAAAACAACATGGTGGTTTCTCAAAAAGTTCAAAATAGAATTACCCTTTGACCCAGCAATTGCACTCTTAGGTATTTACCCAAAAGATACACAAATACTAATGGAAAAGGATGCATACACCCCTATATTTATAGCAGCATTATTTAAAATAGCCAAGATATGGAAGCATCCCAAGCAACCATCAAATGATGAATAAAGAAGATGTGATATATATGTATAAATTTATTTAAAAATAAACAAACGCAAATTTATTTTTATAAATAGTGGAATTATATGGGTTAAATATGTGATCAGGATTAAGGAGTGCACTTGTTGTGATAGGTACAGGTGATGTATGGAATTGTTGAATCACTATATTGTACACCTGAAATTAATATAACACTATATGTTAACTAACTGGAATTAAAATAAAAGTTCAGAGTAAACAAAACAAAGGTGACAGTGCATTTAATTGCATCAAGATGTGCATTCAATCTGCTTTACTCTGTTAAAGTCCTAATGTTTATTTTCAATTTCACATATATCTGGATTCACAGAGAAGTTAAGCTATTATACTTTAGTTACATGATGTTAATGGTAATATTAATGAGTTATTATTACTGAATACTACTATTTGTCCAGTATTATCTTGAAAACTTCGCATCAATTATCTCATTTAAGCCCCCGAAAAAAAACAAAAAGATTAGTACAATTATTATCCTGATGTTATAGACAAAGAAACTGGGGCTTAAAGTTTAGACATTTAAGGATAACTGGGTGGCTCAGTTAAACATCTGACTTCGGCTCAGGTCGTGATCTCACAGTTTGGGAGTTCAAACCCTGCATCAGGCTCTCTGCTGTCAGCATGGAGCCTACTTAGGATCCTCTGTCCCCGTCTTTCTCTGACCCTCCTCTGCTCACGTGCATGCTGTCTCTCTTTCAAAAATAAATAAACATTAAAAAAAAAAAAAGTCGGGAGACTTTTAAAAGAGTAATCTTGGGCCCAGCATCATTTAAGAAGTGAGGACTTATTTTTGTCAACCTTGGCTTCTCTTTGGATATGGAGAAGGCAAAAGGCAAAAAAAAAAAAACTCCACAAAGAAGTCAGGGGAAGACTCTTTGGCTCGCAAATCTCCACCTGTGTCAAGAGAAGCAGCAGAGAAACTTCAAGCTTCTGGTGAACCAAAGTTACAAAGAACCCCAGGGAAAGGGACCAAATGAAAAAGATCTATGAAAGAAGACAAGGAAAAGACAGCACAAGACAGTGGAAGAGTAAGACTTCGGAAGAAAATCCCTATTCCTCCATTACCTTTCACACTGCCGCCAGCCAGCCTCCTTCATAGAGACGTCCTGCGGGCCTGGTGCCAGCAACTAAAGCTGAGCACCAAAGGCCAGAAATTAGATGCATACAGGCGGCTGTGTGAAATTTGCTTACCCTAACCAAATGAAGAACATTCCCCTCACTGCACAGGAGGCCAAGATTCTCACAGCATCACAAAAAAGATCGATGATGGACAATGGGGGAGTGTCTCTGGAAAACTCTAAGAAAAAGATCTCTTCTCATGCAACGCATCCTCCTGAAGTGGCTGCTTCCCCTGAGGGTGGGGCGCAGGCCCTTGTTGGGTCTGATGCTCTCTCAGAGGGAGTCGAAACTGTGGTTGTGACAACTTCAGCCCCAGATGCTGTGTTTGCCTCCTGGTCCAGAACTGCAGCCAGGGCCGGGGAGATGGAGACCGTGGAATCGCCACAGGACTCCTATGGTGTCCGGTGGTGCGTGGTTCATGGGAGAAGTCTGCCTGCAGACACAGACGGTTGGGTTCACCTACAGTTTCACGCAGGGCAAGCCTGGGTGCCCGAAAAATGGGGGAGAGTGTGTGCCTTCTTCCTGCTACCTGCCTGCAATTTTCCACCCCCACACCTGGAGGACAACATGCTGTGCCCCAAATGTGTTCGCAGGAATAAGGTATTAATGAAAAGCCTCCAATGAGATCACGGTACCAGAAAAGGGGGGATGACTTGAGTATAATTGATGGTAGAAAGGGAACTACAACTACCATCGGTGGTGCCCCTGACAGCTGGTCTGGAAGCCGCTCCACCCTCCATGCGCCATGCTTCCTACTGACAGCACACACAGCCTGCTGGGTCGCAGCCGTTACCCTCAGACTCCAAACAGGGACTGCTTTCCCTTTGGTTTAAAATACTTAAGTTTGAAGTCAAGAAACTGAGGTTAGCAGGCTCTAGAAGCGTCCCGAGAGTGGAAATCCAGCATTGGAAGCACACCTGTTCTCCACACCTCGCCTCCTCCCCTCCACGAGGCTCAGCTCAGGCTCCCACTTTAAAAGAACTGTTAAAAAAAAATTAAGAGAAAAAACTCAAAATCTGGCATGCAGAGTTTATTTGCTTAATGTTGGTGACTTTTTTTATTATTTTGTTTTGTTTGTGTTGGTTAGATTATTGCAATGGACTCCGAGTTTTGTTATTGCACAGATTTTCTCTCAATAAAAAGCTAAAATAGTATTTAAAAAAAAAAAAAAAAAAAAAAAAAAAAAAAAAAAAAAAAAAAAAAAAAGAACTGTTAAGGTCACTTCTATTTTAGAAGGGTAAGTAAACATTTGGTAGTATGATTATTGACTTTTTCGCCTTAATACTTTGAAGGAACTTGGGGTATGATCTTGAGGTATGGGAGGAGCCAGGGGAAAAGAAAATTTCTAATTTCCCACCCAGAAACTGAAGTAGCAGATCTGTCCGCCTATCATAAGCTCACAAGCAGCGTATGTGCGCGAGGTATGAGGTCCAATGGAAATGATGATAGGAGGAATCTGGACCCAGGCCTCCGAAGGGATATGGACACATAAGACTCCCAGGAGCTGGTGTTGGAGAAGCTGAGCTTCGAAGTCAGAGGTTTGGCCAAGACGTTGCTGGCTGAGGCAAATGGATCTGCGTGAAGAAAGTCTGTGAGGGGCGCCTGGGTGGCTTAGTCGGTTAAGCGTCCGACTTTCGCTTAGGTCACGATCTCGCTGTTCGTGGGTTCGAGCCCCGCGTTGGGCTCTGTGCTGACTGCCAGCTCAGAGCCTGGAGCCTGTTTCAGTCTGTGACTCCCTCTCTCTCTGACCCTCCCCTGCTCACGCTGTCTCTCTCCCTCTCCCCTAGAAATAAATAAATAAAATATTAAAAAAAAAAAAAAGAAGAAGAAGAAAGTCTGTGAACTCCTTGCCAGAAAGCAAAATCAGAAGTAGTAACATCTCCAGAGATCCCAGCCCTAAGGAGAAGATGGGGAAAATTTTTAAATACTAATTCACTGAATTGGAATTAATGTACCTGATCATATGCCTCAAAATGTAGATTTTACAAAGTAGGGCATGTACACAAAAATTGGTTATGTCACTTTGACCAAGTATTCAGACATAACCACCAAGAATGACACAAATAGAAAATATGTTTTCCGGTAGAATATAATCACAAATGCTATTCTTAGCGAAAAGAATAGAAAATACTCATACAGAAGCTGATCATACCTGACGTTAAGTGAGCTTACCTTGTTTTGGATGGCAGTTCCTCAGGCTTATCCTATGCAAAAACCCATCAAGCTATGTACTTGTGTATATTTTACCATATGTAAGCCATATATTACTTTTTTAAAAACTGCCCTGGTTTGAATGATAAGTTATATAGTTCCTCTAGTTAGAAGGGTGTTGGTGGGAATAATGGAAAATTTGAATTTTGGGTAGGGATTAGATGATGTTAATAGCAATGTTAATGTCTTGATTGTCATAGTCAAAAAATTTGCATTTAACACTTTGTTAATGAGAGAATACACAGGTGTTCTACCACCTTTTATACCTGAAAACTAAAAAAAATTTTTTTTAATGTTTTACTTATTTCTAGGACAGAGAGAGAGAGACAGCGTGAGCAGGGGAGGGTCAGAGAGAGAGGGAGACACAGAATCTGAAGCAGGCTCCAGGCTCTGAGCTGGCAGTCAGCACAGAGCCAGACGCGGGGCTCAAACCCACGAACCGCGAGATCATGACCTAAGCGAAAGTGGGATACTTAACCGACTAAGCCATCCAGGCGCCCCAATATCTGGAAACTTTTAAATAACTTAAAATAGTTACATATATGAAGAGATCCTTCTGAAATACAAGTCAGCTCATGATCCCCTGCTTAAAACCCAATGGGTCCTGTTTCATTCAGAGGAAAAAACAAAGTCCTTGTTAATACCTCCAAAGCTTTACTTCAGGGTCTCCTACCCCGTGCCACTCACCTCTGACCTCGTCTCCAGCATACCCTGCCTTTGCTATTCCTTGACCTTGTCACTGGCTGGAATGATCTTTCCCCAGAAGTTAATATGGTAAACCTGATTAACTTTTTAAGTCTTCCTTCAAATGTCACTTGGTCGTAAAAAGGGGTACTCTGAACCCCTTTTTAAAATCACAAGCTGTTTTTCAACTTCTACCAGCACCATTTAGCCTCCTCACCCTGCTCCAGTTCTTTACTTTTCTATAACATTTATCTCCTCTAACATAATCTATAGTTTGTTATTGTCTCCCACTAATAGTATAAAAGAATTTCTGTCAATTTTCTGCACTTAGGTATCACAGCTTCCTAAACAACCTGACATATAGTTGGTGCTCAATAAATGTTTGTTCAATGTATGATAAGTGGAAAGGTTTGAAGTGAACCGTGAAAGGAAATGGATTACAAGTTACCTAGGAATCCATATTAAAAAATGATCTCTGTACTCTAAAACAAAACAAAACAAAACAAAACAAAAAAAGGTCTAGGGTGCCTGGGTGGCTCACTTCGTTGAGCATCCAACTTTGGCTCAGGTCATGATCTCGTTTGTGGGTTCAAGCCCCGGGTCAAGTTCTGCTCTGACAGCTCATAGTCTGGAGCCTGCTTAGGATTCTGTGTCTCCCTCTCTCTCTGCCCCTCTCCTGCTCACTCTCTATCTCTCCCAAAATAAACAGACATTTAAAATAATAAAAAACAAAAACAAAAAAAGTTAGACATTTATCAGTAACACAAATATTTTAACTGCAATTTTCCTCAGGGAGCAGAGTATTGATAACCATGTACTTCCATTTCAAACCTCAAGCTTTAACCACAATAAATCAATGCTTTTATCATAGCTTAAAGGGATATATGTACATCGCCAATAATATTAGTAGAAATTGGTTTCTCTGGTAACCTGTACTGCATATTTCTCAGCAGAGGTGATTTAGAACAAAAAAAAAAAAAGAAGATTGTAAATTATATCTTGTTTAACAGTAGTTTTCTCATTAAAAAACACTCCACATTTTCAATATAAACCAAAGGAGGAAGTAAACATCCCTTCTCAACTAGAGTTATCACATTTTCTAGAGAGGACTAAAAAATTACTCATTGTGGGGCCCCTGAGTGACTCAGTTGGTTAAGTGACCAAATTCGACTCAGGTCATGTTCTAATGGTTCGCAGGTTTGAGACCCACATAGGGCTGATTGCTGACAGCTCAAAGCCTGGACCCTGCTTCAGATTCTGTGACTCTCTCTCTCCCTGGCCCTTCCCAGTGTGTGTTCTGTCTCTCTCTCAAAAATAAGTAAACAGTGTTTAACGCAGTGCTGGAATTCCTAGCATAAGCAACCAGACAAAAAAAGGAAATAAAAGGCATCAGAATTGCCAAAGATGAGGTCAAATTTTCACTTTTCGCAGATGACATGATACTCCACATGGAACCCTTGACAGACTCCACCAGAAGCATACTAGATCTGATCCATGAATTCAGCAAAGTCACAAGGTACAAAATCAACATACAGAAATCAATTGCATTTTTATATATCAGTAATGAAGCAACAGAAAGAGAAATCAAGAAACTGATCCCATTCACAATTGCACAAAAACCATAAAATACCTAGGAATAAACCTAACCAAAGATGTAAAAGATCTTTATGATGAAAACTACAGAAAACTTATGAAGGAAATTGAAGAAGACACAAAGAAATGGAAAATCATTCCCTGCTCATGGATCAGAAGAATAAATATTGTTAAAATGTCAAACTACCCAAAGCAATCTACACATTCAATGCAATCTCAACCAAAATTGTACCAGCATTCTTCTCAAAGCGAGAACAAACAATCCTAAAATTTGTATGGAACCACAAAAGACCCTGAATACCCAAAGTAATATAGAAGAAGAAAACCAAAACGGGAGGCATCACCATCCCAGACTTTAGCCTCTACCACAAAGCTGTCATCACCAAGACAGGATGGTATTAGCACAAAAACAGACACATAGACCAATGGAATAGAAAACTTGGAATTGGACCCACAAATGTACAGCCAATTAATCTTTGACAAAACGGGAAAGAGTATCCAATGGAAGAAAGACAGCCTCTTTAACAGATGGTGCTGGGAGAACTGGACAACAACATGCAGAAGAATGAACTGGATCATTGTCTCACACCATACATAATAATAAACTCAAAATGGATGAAGGACCTGAATGTGAGACAGGAAACCATCAAAACCCTAGAGAAGAAAGCAGGAAACAACCTTCTTGACCTCAACCTCAGCAATTTCTTTCTTGACACATCTCCAATTGCATGGGAATCAAGAGCAAAAATGAACTATTGGGACCTCATCAAGATAAATAGCTTCTGCAAGGCAAAGGAAACAATCCATAAAACTAATAGGCAACTGACTGAATGGGAAGAGATAGTTGCAAATGACATATCAGATAAAGGGCTAGTATCCAAAGTCTATAAGGAACTCATCAAACTCCACACCCGAAAAACAAATAACCCAGTGAAGAAATGGGCAGAAGATACAAACAGACACTTCTCCAAAGAGGACATCCAGATGGCCAACAGACACGTGACACGATGCTCAGCGTCATTCGTCATCAGGGAAATACAAATCAAAACTACCTTGAGATACCACCTCATGCCGGTCAGAGTGGCTCAAATGAACAAATCGGGAGACTATAGATGCTGGCGAGGATGTGGAAAAGT